AAAACATCTAGAGGTTTATTGATTCTGGCTCATCCGTTAATATTTAATGTACTTATTAAGCAAATACATTTATCTTTATTTCAATATAGATTAAGAAAAAAAAACATCAAAGCAATATCTTACAAGTTAAAAATTTTTTTTTCTATAATAATCTAAAATTAACCATACTTTTAAGCATAATAATTCCTATTGTTTAAGAAAAGAATCAAAAAGAATAATAAGAAATATTTGATTATTAATTATATTAAAAAGTACAAAAAACAAAAAACAAATCATGTGATGACTTTTGTTTTTCAAATGCGCAAATCAACAATAAGAAGAAAAAGAAAGATAATATGTTCTCCTAGAACTTTTACATATCAATGTCATGGATCTTTAATTGAACTTTGGTAAATAATCCTTTATCTCATAACATTCTTCGATTAAATTTCTTTTCAAGTGAATCATTTGTGTTTATTTTTGTATTATCTCTTTGTTAAATTCTTGTAAATTAAATATGTAGAATATTTTTACAATATATTTCAAATCTATCGAGATTATTTATATTTAGTGTTCATGTACAAATATATTCAAATAATTCTAATTAAGAAAGTGTCTCTTGAGTAAATGTCCTTCGACATATTGAATTTGAAAAATAAAGATAAAGTTCTCATGCGAATATTTGATTGACAAGATCTAATCATGATTGAAGCACACAATACCATGTATTGTATATTTAGCGTGCTTTTAAAGTTGAGTTCATTAAAAAAGAAAGAAGAAGAAGAAGTAGTAGTAGTAGAAGAGGTCTCATATTGCAATGCATTTGATTTTTGAGAAAAGAGAATTCTAGCAAAAAACAAATATATAGATATATATATAGTAAATTGATTTACTTGTTCATTTCTTTTTTTTTTTTTTCTATATTTTCAAATAAACATTAAATTGATCATGGACGCTGATGAATTTCGACAACGAGGTAAAGAAATGATTGATTTTATTGCTGATTATTTAACAAATGTTCGAACACGACGTGTTTTTCCAAATGTTAAACCTGGTTATATGCGTCCTATGATTGATGATGAAGCACCAAGACAAGGTGAATCATGGGATAATATTTTTAATGATATTGAACGAGTTATTATGCCCGGTGTACGTATAATATAAACTTTTCCAAGTGCTTATTCCTTAAATTTTTATTATTATTATTATAGATTACACATTGGCAATCTCCTTATATGCATGCCTATTTTCCAGCTTTGAACTCCTATCCATCTTTACTTGGAGTATGATACAAATAGTTTTTTAAATGATTAATTCAGTTTGATATTTAGGATATGTTAGCAAATGGTTTAAATCAATTAGGATTTACATGGGTATGTAGAAAAAAAAAAGGAAAGTACAATAAAAATTCATATTGTGTATATTATTTGAGAAAGATCAATATTTTGTATTACAGATTAAAGAATAATGGATGATTGGAAAGTTTTTAGACAAGATATTTGATCAGTTTTGTCTTGTTAGAAAGTATTAAAAACTATGAATCCAGAAGCATTTTTCAAGAGTTCTTTTCAATGTAAAAAGGTTATCGATTTTTCAAAAATGAGTATTTACGAGAAAACGAAAAGTTTGATGCTTTGTCGACAGACAAAAAACTCTTCAAATTTTATAGGATGATC